CGTGGCAAACCCACCTCTGCTTTGGTACCTCAATGGGGCGGGGGTAAAGGGTCCCCCAATTCCATTTATCGAGTATTCGCTCTACAAGGGAAAATTCACCATGAATGAAGGGCTCAATGAAGCTGAACCTTCCACAAGGGTAGCTGCCATCCATCCTTCGCCGCACGCCACTCCGCACCGCCTGAGTTCCCCTGCGTAAGTTTCAGACATCTCATCCCACAAATCATCGTACAGATCCTGCATAGCGACGCCCGTGCCCGAAACTATGTGAATGGATATATCTTAGAATAAGGATAGACAAACCTACAAATGAACATGTTTGGCTTCCTTTTGAACAAAAGCAAGACATAGCAAGAAAGGAGCAGCGAAAGGTTCTACACCGGACCTTAACACCTCCTCAAGCCACAGGCTTTCGTTTGGCTGTGTGCCTTTGAACGCAAACACAGACACAAAACGCAAACAAATCAGATTGAGCGTCGTCCACCTCTGCTTTTTGTTGGTACCTCAAGGGGGCGGGGGTAAAGGGTCCCCCCAATTCCATTTGTCTAGTATTCGCTCTACAAGGGAAAATTCACCATGAATGAAGTTGCAGGGGTCACCCCCATCCTCCATTCTGAAAGGGGTGGAGATCACCCCCGATTGCATGATCTCATCTGTCCCAAGAATGCAACTGCCTGCTAACCCACCTCCTATGACTCATGCACGCGTGATCTGTTCGTGCCTCAGAGCTTGGATAGACAATGGGCCCCCTTTGTGCATCCTTTCTGCTTGTCGAAGAATTCCTCGCGCAGGGATCTCCTACGGTAACGTCAGGGGTCCAGCCCTGCCAATCTGGTAGAAAGGTCGCCCCCTAGCCCGTTGTGAGCGAATGAATCCACTGGGCGTTCGCAGATACCTACCAACAGTTCTCCATATTGGGTCTGTATAAATGGGATATGACCCCTAACTCAATGGCTTTCATGTGGTTTACCTCTAGTTCCTATGCAAGGTAGGGTACCTTGGAAGAAAGAAGAACCAACTCTCGACCGTCTCCCTTCGTATCTTCCCGTTTCGCAGTGTAGCCGTTTTGCCGGCCTCAAACTCCTTCTGCACAATCTTGCCATCCTACGAGCAAGCATGCACTTAGCCCCAACACAAAGGGGTCTGAAAAATGGTCTTACGGTGGTAGGATCCCCACCCTCCTTCCTTGTAGTCACAAAGGGATATCGTAAAAGGCTGGGCGATGCGATGCATGCTCTGTGAAGCCTCCGTCACTGCCCTCCCACACTGCCCGGCACACTAATTTGCTTGTGCTGCAGGCTGCAAAGGAAAGCGATAGGACCTACCCTTGATTCGTTGTGCGAGAATACACCTTGCCACGGTCCACATTGGACACATTCATACGTGTTTGGGGCTGGCCGCGCTTTGTTGCTGGCCGGCCTTATCGATGAGCCCAAACAGTTAGGGCGATCTCCTAGCGACTAAGGGCAAGAACGCCTTGATCAAAACTCGGGTTCATGGGGCGTTGGTCGATCACTCCCTGAATGGCTTCCAAACTGGCCTGACTCAGCTTTCGGCAGAACTCGCTATGAAAACAAGAAATTGGAAGGTCAATCACCCTCGCCTTATCGTTCGAGGAATCAACCGAGACATATACATGATCTGGCCACCAGCCTCTTTCGCAGCTCCCTGAAGGCTTACAAACGGACGCTCAGGTTCATTGCAAACTTGAACTAGGGTATAGGCAAAACCCCCAGCATTGTCCCTCTGCAAACGCTTTGGCTTTTTGTTGGTCAGTGGACATATGCACAGTTGCCCAATACAAGGTCAAGGATGCAACCAAGCAGCAGCTAAGACTTCAGCCCCTGAAAATCCTGGTGGGCCCCGTGTGCTCAATCACTCGAACGCCAGCCCTTGTCCTGGTTTACATCCAGCTCCGCCAAGACATTTTTCAGCACCTCCGCGGACAAAGGCTGCTGAACCTGCACAAACCCAACTGGTT